TTCCATACCGTCCGTGTAGAGAAAAGACCAATATCGGCAAACCACGCGTTCTGGCGAAACACAGGTCTTTGAATAAAGTTGGTTTTACAGCGCAGAACCACAGCAGGCTGTTTTACATCTATCAGTCCCACATGCCGAATTGGTCAGGCATTATCTTGAGACATACGTTGGTTGACACTGCACCGGAGCTGAGCTGAACTGAACTGAACTGAACTGCACTGCACTGCACTGCACTGGTCGGGAGCTGAGTGACAACTGACTGAACTCGTGTTCACGTTCGTCTTGCACAAGCACGAACAAAAGAATATTAATTAGCAATGACAATACATGCTGTCTATTCTAATTCCGCAGCTGGGCAAGCCTCACTAGCTAACTGGGCATTATCAAAATACATTTGTTTTACAGCAAAAATAGAATATCATAACAGTATCAACTACAGATTTTACATGCACATTGCTAGCAGGCTGTTGTGTGCGAGAGAGTGTTGACGGATGGAAAACTTTACCTTGCATTTCTTTTCTTCAATCTGCTGTGGTAAATATTTCGCCTCCAAATGCGAAACTATAGTTCTTGGTGACACCATTTTATTCAAGTCGAAATCTTCATTTACACCTAACGTAGCCTGTAAATGCTTTAGTAACGGGTCGTCAGACACAGTAAATTCTAAGTGAGGCACTCTGGCATCAGGAGGTGTGTCTTTAATGGAGTCTATGTCACCACCGTTTATCACCAATGGAACGAGTTCTTTCATCCATGTTGTTCCTATTACATAAAAAAGTTAGTTAATGTAATATTTCGCCCTCTAGCGACAAAGTTATTCTGTGACGTAGATGGCGAAATAAAGATCATTCACATTTGAAGTTGTCATTTAATAAATAAGCAAGATACTACACAACTAAACACAGTCGTCGGTTTGAACGTCATTTCTCTCGTCCACCTACGTCATTTCTCTCGTCCACCTACGTCATTTCTCTCGTCCACCTACGTCATTTCTCTCGTCCACCTACGTCATTTCTCTCGTCCACCTACATCATTTCTCTCGTCCACCTACGTCATTTCTCTCGTCCACCTACATCATTTCTCTCGTCCACCTACGTCATTTCTCTCGTCCACCTACGTCATTTCTCTCACGCTTACTTGATTGCTTATTCAGTGTGCTGTTAGCTGAGAAAATAAGCATATACATCTTACTCTAAAAATAGAATTTTGAACAAATTCAAATGATTTAAATATCTATGTTTGCTATTAATATAAACCGATTAAATTTATTTAAATTATGATTTGTTTAATAATATTTTGGAATATCATTTTCATTACACAAAAAAATAAACAGTTTTCAATAATGCCATTGTCACAAACACAATCGATTGAGAAGATAATATATATAATACCACTGCCGACACGCCCAGCCACACACAATCAATATAATTTTAAAAATGTCGAGATATGCAAAAATAAGTCAGGACGTAAATTGTAAATACATATCATGATTTTATTGAAATTAAAGAAATTACTCTAATATGATATATTACGTGTGATTCAGTGAGTTTGAGGTTACTGTTATTCTGTATCTATACTGAGACAAAATACTATTTTAACAATGCTACAATCTTTCACGAGAAATCTGTCAGTAATGTCACCGAGATGAACGTAATGTTACACAATACAGTCACAATATATATTTTGTAAGAGTGATTTCCATATTTGTTAATCTGCCTTGTAAAAGCCTTGTTAATTATTATGTGTATTTGAATACAAGATCAGCATGGACATCTATTGCCGTCATGCGATTAAGAGACCTATGTTTATATAATAGTGGTGTGATGTGGATGAGTGATATCTAGAAATAACTCACCGGACTTTGGATATGTTACAATAAAAATATCATCTGACCTCACTTGAAACCTTCTGATTTTGTTAACTTGCAAGTCGAACCCACAGTTGGCGATAGTTTCAGCATCCACCATTTTGTATTCTTCCCTTATCTTGTCTACTATGCACATATGAACAAAGAGTGATATGTAATACTGAATGCCAGAGAATATTTAAGCAGTGTATTTTTAGTAAATAATTAATAACGATTTGTGTTTGCTGAAGTTTCTAATGATACTTATTAGACATCATGTTAGTGTGTGTTGATTACGGACACTTTAATTGGATGTCGGAAAACATTGGTGTTATTATACAATTTATTAATATGAGAAACATATTTGGTTTTACAGTAACGTTGTAACTTGTGTATTAGTATTTATAAGTGTACACTTTCAGCACTTTTAAAACGTCGTAAAAATAAATCAAACTGCAACGCGGCGATTTGCGCTAGTTAGTGATTTCACAGATTTTGAACGTTATCTCAAATTGAACTCTTAGTTTTAAATTCACTGTGCGCAGTAACCTTCATTATTATACATCTGTCACCGTATCGCCATAAGTTAAAGTGTGCCGTAAGTTTGCGGTATTGCACTGGGTATTTTCATCCTACCATATTAGCAAATGCGAATTCCAAACATGGAACGATTGCGCGTAAGTGTCCTCTAATAATAATAAAAAACAAACATGGCTACCCAAGGGTTTGACCGGACCAACACAAAGAAGTTCGCTAAATCCGTTCTAAACGTTTTGAACATGGTGTATTCCTGGGAGGATCAGACAGTACGCAGTCGCATCGACCTTGCCTGCCCGTCGGTCAATACTCCCGCTGTAATGTCTTCGTGCATACTTGCACACTATACTTTGCAGTA